CCAAAGGTGGAAAAAGGCGGTGCGGACTACCGACGCCACCTGCGTTTCCATGGTGAGCATCGGGTCCAGGTGTACCCCCAGGCTGCAGACCCCACTCTTCGCGGCTAGGGCCACCCCCCCATACCACTGACTGGAACAAGTAACTTGAATAATGATACTTCCTTAAAACTGACTTATCCAATTGTGAAGAGGAAAACTATAATTAATCATTTTCACATATGCTGTCATTGAGAAAACAGAACCTAAGCTCCCCATTTAACTTTAACCAAAGATAACCAAGGTGTATAAAACTATTCCTAAGTAACCTCTGTACAGTTTCCCAGGGCCCTGCCAGCACGCTTCTGCCGCTTCTCTGTAGAGCAAAAGTGGGGAATGTATGGACCTCCAGATGTTGTTCTATTGCAACTTCCATCAGTCCTAGACAGCATAGCCAATATTGAGCAATGCTGGAAGGTGTAGTCCTACAATATCTGAAAAACCAGAAACCTCATAGTACCTTTAACACTAACTGGTTTTCATTTTCCACAAGCTTCATGTGTCCAACCCCACTTCGGAAGAAACTTATGAAAAATAAAAACTACAGTAGTTAGCTTTAGAAGTGCTACTAGATTTCCAGTTCCTCTTGTGTTAGAACCCAGTGGACATGTTAGTCTATAGCACAACAAACTAACATGGCCACCAACTAGATTACCTTCTCCTACCCCCTCTGAAGGACCACACTTTTACACAGCCCTGCTCCATTTAGCTGCCACAGCTCTTTCCCCTTCCCTTTTGTTTTGGATAAATGGAGGACACAAACTCAAGATAAATAAGAAGGACCACACTTTTACACAGCCCTGCTCCATTTAGCTGCCACAGCTCTTTCCCCTTCCCTTTTGTTTTGGGAAACTCAAGATAAATAAGGTTGCTGTTCGGCACCAGTCCTGAACATGCTCCCAATTCTTTATGGATAGCTCATCAACAGTGAGAGCACAAATAGTACCTTCATTTAACAATGACATTCAATTTCCATTCTTCTATGCTTTTGCCAGGAAACAAGCATTTGGGGTACTGGGGAAGAAGAGAGGAACTGGCACTGACTGGAAAAGAGTGGAACAGGTGAGGAAAACATCTGGACCAAGAAGGGTCAACACTTAACAAACAAGGGGTTTAGGGAAGATCTTCTTTCATTTCTAACTGCCATTCTGTCCCCATGCACATCACATCTTCCAAAATGAGACAGCAAGTTGAAGACAAAGGAACCCTGCTGCCATCTCGGGCACTGGATACCCCAACACCATGCTTACATTTCCCACTAGGAATGCAAGTGCAAGTGGGGAGAAATAGTACAGGTATCAAATGCTGAAGATAGCACAAGCGCTCTTCATGCAGAAAGAGGGGGAAAGAAAATGATGGAGAAAAGGAAAGTAAGGCCAGTGAGACAGTGTCTCCCATGACATCGTCCAATCCCCTCTACATGATCCTGAGGCCAATCCAGCTTCTAAGAGCTTACACTTATCCAACTACCATGCATGATAAGCAGTCCACTTCCACATGTCATTTTTTGGTGTCCCCTTTCCTCTGCCATCTCTGAAGAATCTATTTCTGGCAAAGAAAGATAGGAAACAATTTGGGCATGTAGATGTTGAATGGTACTCCAAGATGCAAATACCAGATAAAAAAAAACTCTGCCCTTCACTAAAGAGCCAGCCCAGTAATTTTTGCCCAATAAAGAACTGCCTTAGCTCTAACATTTATTGTTATTTTTATTCATTACATTATAGATCGTATAATAATCACATATTTCTTGGAGATGTACAGATAAATGAAAAAATTTAAATAAAAAACAAAATATATAAACAGCACATAATTTTGAAAAACCAAACAACAACAAAAAAGCCATCAGCAAACAATGAAAATAGGACAAAAACTACAAATAGACCAGTAATACAAAGACAAACATATGCTCTAAATGTATTTATGAACCCATTAATTTCCTGCAGCCTACCATACCTTATCAGCTTCAGTATCCAGTATTTAACTACAATGTACTATAACAAATACTGAGAATTTAATCTAATACCAGACTGGTGGACAACTACTATCAGACCTTTCCTGTCTCTCCATACTCTGCAGCCTCACAGTACCCAAAAACCTGTTCTATGAATTCCTAGATCTCTGGAATACATCCTGAGCACACATGGGAGCAAGAGGGTGGAGACAGACATCTTCCCATACCTGCTACCAAATGAGTTTCATCAGCGGAATGGGATCATTAGACCCAACCCTTCCAATAGGTGAGACATTGTGATTCAGAAAGTATTCCGACCAGCTTTCACAGTGTCTTAATGTTTCACCTTGCACTGAATAGACTTAAAGTCAATCAAAACCCAAGATAATTAACTTCCACTTTAGAAATCTTCTTTTGTTGTTGTTTAGTCATTAAGTCGTGTCTGACTCTTTGTGACCCCATGGACCAGAGCACGCCAGGCCCTCCTGTCTTCCACTGCCTCCTGGCGTTTGGTCAAATTCATGTTGGTGGCTTTGATGACACTGTCCAGCCATCTCGTCCTCTGTTGTCCCCTTCTCCTCTTGCCTTCACACTTTCCCAACACCAGGGTCTTTTCCAGGGAGTCGTCTCTTCTCATGAGAAGGCCAAAGTACTGGAGCCTCAGCTTCAGGATCTGTCCTTCCAGTGGGCACTCAGGGTTGATTTCCTTTAGAATGGATAGGTTTGTTCTCCTTGCAGTCTAGGGGACTCTCAAAAATTTCCTACAGCACCACAACTCAAAAGCATCAATTCTTCGGCAGTCAGCCTTCTTTATGGTCCAGCTCTCACTTCCATACATCACTACTGGAAAACCATAGCATTGACTATGTGGACCTTTGTCAGCAAGGTGATGTCTCTGCTTTTTAAGATGCTGTCAAGATTTGTCATCGCTTTCCTCCCAAGAAGCAGCCGTCTTTTAATTTCGTGGCTGCTGTCTCCATCTGCAGTGATCATAGAGTACAAGAAAGTAAAATCTGCCAGTTCCTCCATATCTTCCCCTTCTATTTGCCAGGAGGTGATGGGACCAGTGATCATGATCTTAGTCTTCTTTTACACTGTCCAATTAAGAGCTTCCAATTCATTCTTGTGGTTTAGTTTCACCTTTTAGAAATTGATAATTCCAAAACACATTGAAGTATTTTTAAGATATAGCAGAATAATAACTATACCAGAAAAGTGTTAAAGCAGGCTAGATAAACTTTTAGAGTTAAGGGGTATATTATCTTTGGGGAAAGGATAGTGGAGGTTACATGTCAGCAGCAGTGGGCAGAGCTAAAAGTGGATACTGTACTATTATGTTTCTCCACCGTCTACTTTGATAGCTTGCATGGACAACTGTTTCCCATTCACTTTTCACACACAATACAAAGAGAAGGAGTACTCAATCTTGCTGTGGATCCATTGTTTTGCAGTGAACTTTTTTCTTCTTCAACCATGCTTCTGCACATTGATATGTCTCACCAGCCATTCCAATTTCTGCCATCTCCTGCCGCTTACACAGTTTGTGGAATTTACTACTCAGTGGCCCACAATTTTCAAGCAAGGTTTCTTTCACTGCAATCAGACTGCTACAAGATACAGAAAGTCAAGAGAGACTTGCAGTCGCACTCTCAAGAGACCAAAGCACAGATGACAACAACGGTAGGAACAGTCTACAGCTTGAGTCCAATAGCCTCAATGAACTCATGCATGTGCACAGTAGCCTGCCTGACAGACTCTCTTTGAGTTTCTCCTCCAGCTGTGCCTCAGCTGTGGTGACCAGGCACACAAACACAATGTGACAGATTATAGGGGGTGCTGAGGGCCTCACAAAAACAATCCAAGGGTAATGTCTGGCCTCTTGACCATAGCCTTGTAGCAAATTGTATCTTCCATTAAAAAAAAACCTGTATTTTCCTCCCAACAAATCCAAGGAGGCTATTTATTTGTTTCACAGAAATATGCAAGTCTATGATATGGTGAATATGGAGTGAATGTTGCACACAGTTCTAGTCACTTCTGCTCAAATAAGTTCATAAAAGTTTTAGAAGATGCAGGGACAAGCAAACCTGAGGAGAGTTGACACAATACCCCTACAGAGAACAATTACAACAACCAGGGTTTTTTAGTTTACAGAAAAATCAAGTAAAGGAAAGACACAATAAAGGTACATGATATTATGTCCTGTGTGGACGAAGTGGGGAGGGAATTTCTTCCTCTCTCTCTCTCTCCCTCTTCCTTTCTCATAATACCAATTCCAGCATCATCCAATGAAGTGGAATGGTGAGAGATTCAGGACAAATAAAAACAAGTAGTTTTTCACCTTGTCCATGACTAAAACCGCGGAATTCTCTACAGCAAGAGGTAATGGTTGTCACCAGCATGCCCAGCTTTTAAGGCCAGTAGACAAACTCATGAAGACAAGGCTACTAGTCACAAAGGATATACAGTGGTCAAGATTAGAGAAAACATAGCTTTGAATTACCACCTGCTGGGAAACAGTACATTTAACTAGCAAGGCAGGTTTTTGCTTTAATGACCTAAGGAGATTTGCCACACTATATAGGCCTTTAGGTTGATTCAGCAGGGCAGTTCTTGCATCAAGAGGCAATCTGCCACAACATTTTTTAAAAACCCTATAAACAGTGGCAACTCTGAAAATGTAAAATACTCACCTACCTAATCTACTATAAGTCATTCTACACTGCACCTCCAAAAAGTTATGAAAGTCATGAAAAATGCATGTTTTACTTACATCAGTGGAAATGCAAAAAGTGGGAGTGTCATAACGAACCTCGCAGTCCAATCATCAGGAAGGTACCAAAAATAGATAACTAGGCATGTGAAAAGGTAGAGCACAGAAGAGTAGAGAAGAAACCGTCCGACCCATAATTTCTGTTGCCTCTGATTTTTCTCTCGAAATTCTTCTAGTGCCTGGATATCCTGTAAATTAAAAAATTAAAAATGACAACAATATATTGAGTTGTTAAAACTGAAGTATATTAACAGCACTTATCCTTGTGATGCATTTATTCAAAAACATTTTTAAAAGCCATATACGGGCTGAAATTCTGTTGCTTAATATAGTCGGTCACAAATAGAGTAGGTCCATTCAATCAGTGGGAATTTAGTGAGTCAGCTCCTCCATAGGTCCCATTGATTAAAATGTTCTACTCAAGTTGTAACTTACTATGCTAAGCAACGGGATTTCAGCCCACCGAATATACTTCAAATACTTGTTATATTCAACTTAAAGGCACAATTGGCTCCATGCCTTGTATGCAGAAAGACACACAAGCAGCTCTCATACAAGAACTCTCCACAGAGTGTTAAGCAGGCAGGGACAGGGAAGCAATAAAGAATCCTGTGCAAAAGCATCTGTCAGAGGAATTGATATGGAAGGTGACCACCACACACAGTTTCACTGGTACTTCAATCCTATTCTGAAAATGAGTGGCCTTGCACAGGAAAGTAATCTCCTATTCAGAATAACATCAATACATCTGAAACAATAACAGAAACCAGGACAGGAAAGCTAATAAAGTGTGCACAGTAAGAAACACAGTTTAATTTGTGGAATCATTATGCATTCAACTGTTTTTGACTAATCAAGTGTGTACAATCATTTAATATTTTTCATTCCCTCCTCTAACAAGCCTGATCCTTGTTATACTGTGTTTGCCAGCGTACAAGATGACTTTCTGGCCCTGAAAAACATGTCTCCAAGTGGGGGGGGGGTTTGTCTTATATGCCGGGTGCACTTCCAGCAAACCCTCCCTCTGTCCCAGCGAAGTCACTTACCTGGTAGTAAGGCCGAGTTGACCTACCCCGCCCCTCCTTGGTAGCCTGGGAACAGCCTGACTCTAGCACCGAACAGCTGACTGTCGGGAACCAGCAGAGAGGCGGCAGTCATTTTTAGATGTGACCACATAGCTGCTGCCTCTCAAAATGGCTGCCGCCTCTCTGCTGTCCTTCTTCCAGCAAACCCTCGCTCTCTCCCAGCGAAAGGAACTAAAAGCGGCAAAACGAACTCTCCCCATGATGCAGCCAAAGCAGAATCACGCATGCGGAAGAGGGGGTAGTCTTATACAGCAAGTATATAACAAACTCTACATTTTGAGTGGAAATGTTGGGGGGTCGTCTTATACGCCCACTCGCCTTATACGTCGGCAAATACGGTATTTCTTTGGAACAATATTCTTTGAATGTAATGGAACCTCAGTTCTAGTTTTTACCTTTAATTGCACCACTAGGCTCACAAATTACTAGTTATCTTTGGGGGAAGGTCTTAGACAGATCTAACATGCCAACAGTCCAAGGGAAAAAAATTGATCCTGAGGACCAAGAATTCTCAAGAGAATACATTACAGCACTGAAATTAGGTCATAAAAAACACATAAGAGTGGATAGGTAAAGGTAAGGGTAAACGTTCCCCTTGACATTTTCAGTCCAGTCATGTCCGACTCTAGGGGGCGGTACTCATCCCCGTTTCCAAGCCATAGAGCTGGTGTTTGTCCTTAGACAGCTTCCGTGTGGTCACATGGCCAGCACAACTAGACACAGAACACTGTTTACCTTCCCAACGAGGTGGTACCTATTTATCTACTTGCATTTTTACATGCTTTTGAACTGCTAGGTTGGCAGGAGCTGGGACAAGCGATGGGAGCTCATTCCGTCACGTGGATTCGATCTTACGACTGCTGGTCTTCCAACCCTGCAGCCCAGAGGCTTCTGCGGTTTAACCCACAGCACCACCACATCCCTGAGTGGATAGACAGTGCGGCAAAAACAAATCCCTCCCCTGATTTTCAATTTCATTGGCAACGGTTTCTTCCCTCTCCTCTCCCAAGAATAATTATTCATCTGATTGGGGAGCAGAGAGGAAAATGGCTATCTTATTTCCAATCCTTCTGGTTGTATTCAGCATTGTCTTTCAGTTTCTCTACTTCTCCATCTGCAAGCTGCTTGCTAGAGGAAATTTTCCTTTCCAGCCTTGAGCCCCTCAGCCTGAAACTACTCTCCCAGCTGGATGCCTGCCACTTCATTCCACTGCATGTAGCATTTTTAAAAAATAAAGAAATAAAAAGAAAAAAGAACATCTGCTGTGTAAACTGACTGGCTGGACAAAGGGAGGAGAACAAATTCAAACGTCTATTTCACTTCCTTCAGCTTCTTCTGCCTCTGTTACCCTTCTATCACTCCTCAACCTCAGCCACTTATGGCTTTCTTTCTCCCTCTCCCTCATTCCATACCAGAGAGAGAAAAGGCTAATGAATAAAAGAACAAAAAAGTGTTCTTCCACTATTGGTTCTTTCAATTAGTTACATGTGAATACCAGCAGCACATGATGAGGAATGGTTCCAACTTTTTTTCAGATATTGAATCCATCTAACAAGCCAGCTCTCTGTGGGCAGAATAGACTTTCTCTTGCTGGGTAAAAAGGGTGAAGCACTCTGTGTGTGTTCAGAGCACTTAAAACGTATTTTAGTGGCTAGGAGGACAGTGGTGCCTCGCAAGACAAATGGCTCGCAGGACAAAAAACTGGCAAGACAGATGGTTTTGGCAATCGGGTTGATGACTTGCAAGACAAATGTTCCTATGGCCGTGCTTCGCAAGACGAATATTTTCCATTTTTTTGTTCCTGCCTCATGTTTGCTGATTTTTAAATGTTTTTCTATGATGTTTAAAAAGTTAAAGTTTTTTGATTGAATTTTTTTCTGCACAATATGTACGGCTTTAAACAGCACTTAATAAACCCTTTGTAAACCAAATTTGACTTTGTTCTGACTTTTTTTGCCCATAGGAATGCATTAATTAGATTGCAATGTATGCCTATGAGAAAACACATTTCGTAAGATGAATTTTTCTCAAGACAACATTAACCATGGAACGAATTAAATTCGTCTTGTGAGGCACCACTGTAGTATGTGTCTCGCATACTAAGAGCAGACATACTTTTGTTTGTGGTAATCTACAATCATGAAAACATTTTAAACACCAGACATGCCACAAAATGCGTTGTGTAATGAACAACAGGCAACTCAAACTATAACTGTGTGAATGCTTGAAAAGAATATGAGATCCTTAGATTTAGCTCACAGTACAACTAATAAAATCAACCTTACCTTATCAATTTTTTCCAATATTTCTATTGTGGAAGGCTTTGCCTGCTTATAAGGAAAGAGAATGTGTTATAAAAATTTGCCCTTAAGAACTAGGTTATTCACAACATAATGCCAAAAACTAAATATAAATCCTACTTCCTCCATCACTCATGTGACAAAAAGCACAGGCACGTCTGAAACACATGCCACCAATTTTCCATGATAACAACTCCCTGAATGAATCACAGAAGGAAACAAGGCAACATAATGGAGAATGTTACAATTTGCAGATGTGGAAAAGCAGTTTTAGAGTAGAATACTACCAATACCAGTCTATACGTCGTATCAGATGCCACACTTTGGGGAAAGCATGGATCTTGCAGATCTGTTTTGCAGGGAATGAAAACAGCAGATCCCTGAAAACAGAAATATTACAGTTGAGTCATCTAATTCTAAGCCAAAAAGCTTCTCAAACTAAAGCAACCTCCATGTGTTCTTAGCAGAGCAATAGCATGATTGTGTGATCTAAAACTATAAGATTTTTAAACTGGCAATTTAACAAATGAAGTTCAGCAGAAAATTAAAAACATAAATTAAAAGTAAAATAATTAGCTTTTGGAAAGCTGAACGAAAGTGGAAAAAGAAACAAAAAGTAAGTTTTTAAATGAGAGTTTAAATTTTAATAATCATCCAAAGAACTCTTTAAGTATTTTCTATAGTTTCACTTAAATTAAGGCAAAAGATTCAAACTTTGCAGTGTGGTTTATGTTTATTCAAAGGCAGCCTTTATACAGTGAAAACAAGAGCTGCAACAGTTCTCCCACCACTATTCTGTTGTTTTATCCCTTCCAGTTCTAAGATTGTTATTGCTGTCATCGTTATTAAAACATCTTCCTTCCCATTCTCTGTATGACTGCTCTGGTAATGCATGTAAAAGTGAAGAGTGGTGAACACTTATTACTTCAAACCAGTAAAAGCAATGCATTACATGAGAACTTCCTTCAATATGACAAGCAAATCAGTGGACAGACAATCTAGGTCACAGGGACTAGGGTCCAAATCCCAATCCAAACACAATTTTCCACATGGATCTCAGTAAGCCAGTATCTTGCTCCAGCCTTCATCTCAGAGTTAGTATGTGAATAAAATATCAATAGCATCATGCAAATTACTCTAAGCAAGGTCAGAGAAAGTATATGACATGTATATGATGAAATTTCAAAAAGTACCTGATGTACAAATTCTCACACTTCACAATACAGTATTAACTTCCACTTCCCAAGGCCCCTTGTATCCGCATACATCTTTTTCAATCATGTATGAAAGGACCCTGTTTAGGTAGTGGGTCTTTTCCAGATTCTGTGCTGTGAATTATGAAACTTGTTCACATGGGGAAGGAAACTAGGCATCCTCAACACAAACAAATGTAAATCCTAACACTATTGCTCAAGAGGATCAATAAGGATAATGCATTAGGTCTAAGTATAAAAGTGAACTGCCACATGTTGTTTATACTTCTCAAAGCTCAGACAGCATTTCATCAGGAACCACAAGTATTTTAACCAAGACACGCACAGCTTTCACCAAAGTGAACAGAGAAACAGGCTACCTTTCACAGCATAATCATTACTTTACTAGAATATTCATTACTTTGAACCAATAACACTAAGTTATACATAATTCAAGGGAATACATACAGCAGAAATGGGGAACCTCTAGCCCTAACTGATATTTAAGACAACTCTGACAATCCCTTACAACAGGCTCTATTGGGTGAGACTGATGGGACTTGCAAGCCAACAACATCTAGAGCAGAGGTCAGCAACCCCCGGTCCGTGGCCTGAGCCGGACCAGGCCACGGAGACAGACCTCCTGGCCCCCCCGCATGCACTCCCCTCCCCACAGCTGCCAGCACCGGCGTGAGCCCTCCCCCACCCCTTCACGCATGCACCCAAGTGCCCGTGCAAAGGGGTGGGTGCGCAGGCGTGTTTGCAGACACTCCTGCACATGCACAAGGGGGCGAGAGAGCGCTCACACTGGCGGGCACATCAGCACTCCCTCACCGCTTCGTGCATTTGCCCATGAGAGAGAGCACCTGAGAGCACACTCACACCCGCGTGGGGTGTGTGTTTGCCCCGTCTTCCTCAGGGGCTCAGCCGGTCCGCAGTCCCAAAAAGGTTGGGGACCGCTGATCTAGAGGGATAACAAATTGCCCACTCCAATGTAAAGGATTCAGTCAAAATTATTCCTACTAAGAGTCACTAAAGCAAATGGAAGAAACCATCAACTGCAATTAATTTACATTAATTGCTTTCCGTAAGATTTCATTGACTATGTTTAGCTAAAATGGTATGGTGAGGTGGCAGATACAAAGTCACTTATGTTCTAAAATTCAGCTCCTAACATTGATATGTAAAGATGGAGAAATACCATTGATCTATCTTACAGGGTTCTCACAAAAATAATTAATATGATGTACTCAAAACACTGTTAAGCACTGACTTGTCTAGATCAGCCATTCTCATCAGGGGCCATATGGTTCTCTGGAAACCTTGGCACATTTGAAGTGGGGACACAGACTAGAAACAATTCTTCACACATTAACTTATAAGGTTCATTATGCGACATATACAATCATGATTCAGCCTATATTTCTTTCATATTAGTTTGAGATAATTTGCTCTAGATAGTATGGCTGCTCTAGACAGTGTAAATTTCAACTACCACAAGCTCTAGCTAACTTTTTTCAGTAATGAAAAATAGCAAAAAATATCACCCCAAAAATATAAGTATTTCATGAATAAACAAACTATGCTGCTCCAGAGGATAAATTTTAGATGTCATAAAATTAGCATACCAACCGTTCAGCACATTTCACATCAGCAAATACTTTTTTCTAGATGTGCTTAGCTGTTTACAACCTGCTTTTCTAGAATGTTGGCCCAGAGCCTTTCCCTCCAGTAGAGTTGAATGCAATCCAGGAGAGGATAAAATACAAATAAACCCACTGATCTGGCCACTGTTTATGAAGACATGGCTAATCTGGGCCTTCTGTGTGATTTATGAAAATACATTCTATAATCTAAAGATTCCAGTCTCTTACTTTGTGTCTGAGCCAGATACCATCCAAGTCGGGAGTCACTGCACTGATACTGCTCTTGTAAAAAAAAAGATAGAAAGCTGCCTTAGACCAAGTCAGGCCATTGCTATATCTAGCCTAACATTGTCAACTCTGACTGTCAGCAGCTCTCTGTGGTTTCAGACAGGATTCTTTTCATACGTGGTGATCCATGGCATACCCTGATGGTCTCCCATCCAAATACTAACCAGGCCTGACCCTGTTTCACTTTCTGAATCACATACGGTGTGTTTAAGGAGGTATTGTGATTCTATGGATCTATTTGTTACACCTTGTTCTGTACGACAGGAAATTTCTTACAAACAGTATTTGAGATGCTGTTCTACTTGCAATATAAAAAATGTGCATCTCTAATTGAGAAGATTTACTTACCCGCCATCTGGAAATGATTCCACCCATTTCTCTATTTGTGGAGATGGGTTGTTCTGGCAACTTATAAGCAATCTTGCAATGGACAATACAGCTAGAAGTAAAACATTTGTGTTTATAATTAAAAATACACCCACAGTATAAGCCAAGGAATACTGTATAAAGTTACTTCAAACTACATTCAAGTAACACACACAATTACACACCACAGTACACACAGCCCATCATTTCCAGATTTTCTAGCACCTTCTAACATCGCATACATGCGTTTTGCATTATACTTCAGATTGTGTATCTTTGCAAATTTCAATTTACAAGAAATAGCTTTCAGGGGAGAAAATCCCATACCATTAAATACCAAGTAGCAAAGGAATCAAAACATTTTTTAATATTTCTTTAATCAATACAAGGTATTTTTTTAAAAACCCTATTACCAATTTGGGGGAGCTACCATTAGTAACTGCAGAATCAGAATGGGGTATCTAAGAATTGACTAACATTTGTACAAGTTTCAGTACAAATGTTATTGCAAATTTCATGTAGCAGAGAGGCATTATTGAAATTCCATACCTCCATTAAGAGATATATAGCATAAAACACTATTGTAATTCAAAATAACTTTCTTGCTTAAAAATCTTTTCTATGTATTTCTTATATCGATATGCTTGTCAAATCAAGGAGATCCACTTGGTCTCCCTCCACAAGGGACTTTTCTATCAATGGAATACAGTGGGGTCTCTACTTAAGAACGTCCCTACTTAAGAACAATCCAACTTAAGAACAGCTCCATTTGCTAAATTTTGCTTCTACTTGAGAACAGAAATCCAAGATAAGAACAGGAAAAAAAACCTTTCCTGCTCTTTTTTTAACCTTAGGTCATCTTAGGTTAAAAAAAAATTCTCCCCCTAGTGGTAGAGTACGTATTAACCAGCTTTGCATTAGTTCCTATGGGAACTAATGCTTCAATGTACGAACGGACCTCTACATAACAAAAAAACAGCCAGAACGGATTAATTGGTTTTCAGTCCATTCCTATGGGAAATTCTGCTTCAACTTAAGAACGTTTCAACTTAAGAACACCATTCCAGAACGGATTAAGTTCTTAAGTAGAGGTTCCACTGTTAGTTTCTATGGACGGAACAGAGCAGATACGGATTAAATGGTTTTCAATGCAATCCTATGGGAAATGCAGATTCAACATAAGAACTTTTCAACTTGAGAACCACCTTCCAATACGGATTAAGTTCTTAAGTAGAGACCCCACTGTAACAAAGGGAGACAGATTGTCAAAGATTCTTATTTGCCCTTTAGTCACTTACAGTCATCAAAATCAGCTTCAGATGGTCTGGGGATCCTTCAGAACAGATTTAGCTAGTTCTGTTGGTTGCAACATGGTACTGCTGAACACTGCACCCCTCCCAATCCCACTGATGGAAGCCTTCAGTTAAAGGAAATTTACTTGATTTTGGTCTGAGAACAGTTGGCAATGAAGCTATGGAATAGACAGGACTTGAAAAATGCACTCATCCACTCGTCTGTGACAAGTGAAAAATGCTGCTCAATGAGTCACAGCTCCCTCCCTGCCTGCCTCCTTTCCCTCCCTGTCTCTTTCTCTCTAATCCTGCAACCCTACCCTCCCCCTCCCATTGCAAAAGGAAAACTGCCCTTTTCTCTTGAGAAGAGAGTTCGAGCAGTACACAGAGTTATAGCTCTGCAGGAGAATGTAGAGTAGTCCCATGCTGGAGAATATCGAGATTCCCTGCTCTCAATTTCAACTGAATGAGGACACATCCTGGGGTGGGAGGGAACCGTGGCTCCTTAAGAGGCCAGATGCTTTTGCTTTCAGTTTTATTTTTGCTGGAAATGTTCAAAAGAAAGGCATTCAAAATACAGGCTTCGTGACCCCACAGACACGCAGGTAATAAAGCAACCCAAGTCTGAGGGTATAAATCAGTGATTCCCGATCCCAATAAATTGCAAGGCTATAGTCCGATCATGCTGACTGGTGAAATTTTTGAGTGACTGGTGAGACATTCTAAAATTTTTCAAGCCCTGGGAATAGATCTTGTAAATGAGGGCTATTCTGCAAACTGAAGCAATGCACTGCAGTGGTTAGGTAGTGGACTGGAGTTTGCAAGGTCCTGGGAAAATTCTGCCCCCCAAGGTACCCATGAGTTAGTCATTCTCTCTTACCCTGACCAACCCCATATGAGTCTCGTGTATATTGCTGAAATGGGAAGCCATGTAAAGCTGCTTTATACTCATTGCAAGACAAGACATAAGTGTTATCTATAAAACTCAGCTAGGATTAAGTCCCACTGAACTCACTGGGTCTACCATCTGGGTAGACATGCACTGATGTGCAGTTAGTCATTAATTACAAGCATCAGAGTGATACTAAATTTAATAGGTATTACCATTTATAAAACCTTAATTCCATCTTTCATTTCAAAGAATTAAAAATATTAAAGCTCAAAATGGAATGCAATGGTCTTATTAGTTATATCAGCATTTCAAGTGTGGGAGTTAAAATTAAAGCCAATGTTAAGATATATGAGGAAAGTTAAAAAATATTTACCATTATGTGCCTTTAAGTTGAAACCAACTTATTGTGACCCTAATAGGGTTTTCAAGGCAAGTGAGATAAGTAAGGAGTGGTGTTACCAATTCCAAACGCCTAGTGAGTTTCCTTGGCTGAATGGGCATTCAAACCCAGGCCTCCTGAATCCTAGTCTGTTACTCTACTGACTACACTACACTGGGTATCAACAACATCAACTGCTGGAACTTAATTTTTTAAACAGGAATCATGAATGCACACCTTCATGAAGTTGTCAAAATATCTTCATATACAGTAGTAGAAAATAGCACCGGATTAATTGTTGACATTGCCTAAGGGGGTCACATAAACATTGCATAAGCATTAACCTTAATAAAAAATATTTGTTTTATCATTTTCATTCTCACTTCATTTTAAAAAATCAACATAATGAAAATAAAATCCAATGAAATACAAATATATTAAGGCCCTTAAAACTACACTATATGATAAATGGAAAAAATGCTTTCTATGAAACAACAGAAGATTTCTTACATCTAAAATTAAACCTATATACACTGATATCTAATTATGCCAAATTAAACTCAGTGGAGCTGATTTCTGAGTTTTACCATAAGATAGAATCATACTTTGTGGATTACAAATAATACAACAAATAAAGGGCCGCATCTATTATTGTGTGCTTGCCACTGGATCCATGAACTAGCAGGTAATCACACGCACTGGGGGCCAGGATATGAACCAATACAAGTGATCCTGTGCTCCAGTTACCTAAATTCTGCATTCAATTCTCAAATTATGAATATTTATGACTATTAACCAAACATCATTGGCACTCATTTTCCGTCTCACAGAGAAATTATTTTCCTGTGGTACCCACCAGCGCCTGCTTATGGAACATTTTGAACACCTACTTCTAAATAAACATGCACTGGATCAAGCCAGATTAACTTTTTTTCCCACTTCACTTCCCAGCAAGACAGAACTAACCTTATCCAAATAAGTGATCCCCCTTCATAATCCTGCATATATAACCAACAGTGCCAAAAGAAATCTCTCTCTTGCCTCTATAATGAATATGTACTGGAAAAAAACAAAAACACTAGATTATTCCTGTAGATGGTACAGACACTGTATTTACTTGCAAATCAATGTTTTATTTGTTAAAATAACTGGTGAGTACACACATTTGTTGGGAAATATAAGAAATTTCAAAATAAGACATAATTTAAATTAAATCAATGATTTAAAAGGGACTTTTAAAATAAAGTGGCTTTACTGAAAATAGATCTATTCTGGCCCTAGCCTGATACACTACTAATTCCACATACTGTATGACAACAAGAAGGTGTCTGATACAGAGTCAGATTTTACTTCCGCCTAGAACCGTTTATCTACTGTTCTAGGAATATGGGCAACATCTTTCCACTCAGCAGACTACTGGTCCATCAAGCTTAGTACTGTACTGTCTATATCAGCCTTTCCCAACCAAGGGAACTCATCCCACAGAGATAACATCAGCTACAAATGGAGCCAGCTCCAATGATACCCACTCCTACCCAGTTGAGGTGCTGATGAAGGCTGAGACAATTTAACTTTCATCAGCAACTACAATGAGAGATACATGCCATACAACACATGACTTCTTCTGACCTAAAGGCAGAGGCTGAGACAATTTTAAATTTAAAGAACTTACAAGGGGTACAGGAAGTAACCACTACCTTTGGACTGAAAGATTGCCCCAAGAATGCACTGACAGGAGTGGATTATTAAACAGTTTGCATAGTTGTTACAGTGTGTAATTATCTTGTTATCTAGTTCAGCAGAGCTGACTTGCAAAAAAGTCTAAATCCTAGTTCTTATACCTGGACAAATATATCCTTTTGGGCTTCTCTTTCCCATGGAAGGTCTCCAAATGTATACAGAGGACTGCCCAGCTGTACAGCAAAAATGAAGTAAACAGCAGGACTTGCACTGGAAAATGTACTCCAGAGGAGTGGTGCTCAACCAACCAGTGATATACAGTACAGTAGTGCCTCAACTTACGACTGTCCCTACTTACGAACAATTCAACTTACAAACAGCTCTAGTCACAAAAAAATTGCTTCTACTTGCAATCGGAGCTTCTACTTACAAACAGAAAAAGGCAGGGGGAAAAGGCAGGAAATTCAAATTGCTAACTGCAGGTGGTGAAAGAGGCTGCTTCTTTGTAACTTTTGCCCCAAGGGTTAGAGTGAGTGCGATCGAGGAGGGACTGCCTGACTTCTGCTTCTCAGTGAGCGTGTGTGTGTTTGCAGGGCGGCTTGGGACTGCCTGTTAGGTAAGGTAAGGTGCTGTTTTCTGCTTTTAAAAAATTGTTCTGAGTGTTTCTGCAGCATGGTTTTAGGGTGGAGGGTTATGTTTCTGTGCTGTGATGGGTCTTGAGGGTTTGTTTGTTTGTTGGGTTCCTCCTCATTTCTGATGGGTCTTGGGGGGTTTGGTTGTTTTTTTGGGGGGTCCTGCATGCTTCCCTTGCTTTTTCCTTTGTTTT